TTTGTGGCGACTGGTGAAGAAATCTATGGAGGGTGGCTTTTTATTTAAGGAAGAGAGAGAGAGAAAGTCAAAATATTTTTAAATTGAAATATACTAGTAGTCACTAATTTGTTGATGATGATAATAGAGTAATTTCTAAAAGAAGTATAATTTTTATCCTTTACCAATTTTATATTTTTAATTTCCTTTTTCTGAAATATCTTAACAAACACCAGCACATGTGATCGTATATAGCATTTTTTGTTTTGACTTGACTTGTACTATAAATCGTATAAATGAATTTTTTACTATTTCTAAAATTTTGTTTACAAACGTTCAAAGAAAGAAAGTGTGTTTAGCTATTTTCCATGAAATCTGTCTATATTCGTGTGTTAGAGTAGTAATTTGCAGAACTGCTATTTTTTATCTTGTTATTATTGTATATGGCTATAACAAAAGTATATAAGAATCTACCTAAATTCAAGATTGTCTTTAAGTTTTGTTTTGACTACAAGAAAATTGGGAATCATTTACTAAAATAGTTAAAATGAAATTTTAGTTTCCTGTTGACTACACAAACAAATAGGAACGATTTACTAAAATAGTTATAAAAATTTAAAACATGAGATGGATTCACTAGTTAGAAACTATTCTAAATCAATCACACTAATTAGTTTTAGTTTTAGTGATGAAAAGAAAATAATTGAGGTAGACACGTCGGATACGTTATGTTTAAAGTTATGAAAAAATTGTAACGATTCCATTGGTACTGTTCATGCAAAAAAAATTATAACGTCCCGAAAAATTTGGACTTTCATACTTTTTACAATTTGTGGATTATATTCCACTTTCATTTGACAATCGCTTTGTTATTTTGAAAAATTCAAAAGACTTATTAATTTATTAGCTCTGTAAATCATTATGAGATCGTTCTCTATGTTTTGTTTTTATTTATATTATATTAGAAATTATTTTCTAGTAGATCATTCGAAAAAAAAATATATGCATTGTGATATCAATAGTTAAATCAATAGCTACATGTCCCACAGTCTACAAAAAAAATATTAAAATGTTAAAGTTAGACCATTCACAATGGATTGGATATCTAAAATGAGTTTCTAATCTATATAATACTATTATTTTAATATTGTCTAATTATTGAATTACATTTTAATATCTAAAAATAAATTGAACCAATTAGAAACTTA